TTTTTGAAATATTTCCCTTCATTCCCATCATGCAAGACTATTTTAAGCGATTAAATGATTTCAATTAATTCCATCTTCCTCGTATCAGTCTTACCAGTTAGATTAGTTAGAATATTTATACGCTTTGTATTTATGTTCTTTTATACTGTTGTGCAAATGGCACAATGCAAAATGCTACATGTAGCAAAGATGCGTCGTGGGTTTCTTCCACGAAGCACAAAATATTTAATTTCATTTCTTCAATACGCGCGTGTGGTCTTGTATTTCTCTTTTTATGTGCACTTACCACACATGTTTATTAAAACTTTTAACAATCGATTGCATTGTTGTAGTGGCATTTTACATTTCAGATAGAAATTTCAATTGTAATTATTATGTGATGTTGGTATTCCGCGCTCTACACCTATCAATGCATGTTGAAGAGTTTTATTTGATTGAACTTAGACTGTGATAAAAGCATTATATGCAAACAATTAAAATCTAAATTATTGAAAAGTAGCTTTTATTTGCAATTACTGTATTAAGTTTCCTTTTTGTGTGTTTCAGATTTTCATTGTAATTATGACATATTTACAAGCCACTCGCTTGGTTGAGGACTGGAGTTGATTGGCCTGCTCGTTCCCTTGATTTGGCCCCGTTTGAGCTTTTTTTTTCGAAATATTTCCAAAATTTTCAACGAGTAATGAGTAGGGGTAGAAAATCTTTCAAACAATTACGCTCAAAATGTTGATAGCCAAAGATTTTAATTTAGAATTCATTTAAAACATACTGTTACTTATAGGTTTAGATGTATATCAGGTAAACCATTTAAATTATTGTTCTTATAATTCAGCCACTTTCATTAGCAACCCTAATCTCGAAAAATATTTCTTTTAAATTCCTATTAAAACATAAATTGGGAATCTAATCCAATGAAGGAGTTACTGATTAGCTGTTATTAAAGGTGTAATTTGGCTTTCATCAAACACACATTGCTCATATCTGGAACAGATCGAATCACTCTTTAGAGATCAACTATAAATAGCAGAGCGTTTAACTTTTTCTCTTTAAAATATATGAAATAATTAGTGCTCTATAATTGATAATTATTGTCTAGCACTTAACAACACAACCTGCGTTCAACTATAAATTCTAGTGTTAGGTACAGTGAACACTGTCGAATGTTTCAACTTTAATTATAGGTTTAGCATCCATGGGGTTCAAAGCATGTGTTTAAAAAAGATCGGTGTTTTATTTATACGCTCTACGAGACGATGACACCAGTTTTCTTCATTCAAGATATTTTGCCTTCAGATCATTGAATGTTCTAAAGATTCAAATAATTTCAAATTTTTTCAAGGCTTCTTGGATGATTGTGCTAACTCATTAGATTCTGTAAGTGTTCAACTATAATAATGCAAAGATTATGAAATGCGATATTTGCAATAACGCATTTCTTCATCGAGAATTTTGAACTCCATAGTATGAAGAAATTTCAGTGGGACTTTTCACGATTTTTCACCTTTACGTAAAAGTGCTTTGTATCATTTCTTGTCGAAACCTTTAGAAAAAGTGAAAAATTCTGGGTAGCCTAGAGATATTCGTGTTCCGTGCAAATGGTGGTTGTGACTACATAAAAGTGTAGATTAGCATAGGTCAACTAGGTCGTGCCAACACATGTAAAACATGTGATAATGTCGATGTTTTGTGGTTTTTCCCGTTAAATGTTAGGAGTTACTATTCAGCTATGCAAATTAAATGCGAATTTATTTCCAGTATGGGCCAGAATTTATTAAATTTTCAATCTTGCCATATGGATATGGTGTGTCAGAGTTACAATACAGAGTTAATTGAGCTTTCCTAAAATTCCGTTCATAATTGATATGCTAATGATTGCAAACAATCCATGCCTAGTGACTAATCTAACTTTGTACAAAAAGTTTAGTATAAAATAAAAGAAATTAGAAAAATAATAAATATAGACAATACTCAAACTTATAACTGCTTTACAAAAAAATACCTTACTTCGGAAGATTCCAAAATATATCATAAATATTTAAAGGATTTAAAATATCAAGTTAGATGTAACACTGAAACATCCTGAATCAAGACTTAGTACCCGAAATATTAATTTTTCTGTATGTTTCTCTAGGTATGAGACTTAAACATTCCAAATCGAGAATTAGTAGGTAAACGAAACATTTATTATGTGCTTGTATTTTTTATAAATCGTTTAAAAAACTACATTTCTACGCCAAGGTGGCAATTGTGCAAGGTAGTAAAATATAACGTGATTTCGACAATACTCGAAATCATTCAATTACATTTATTGAAAAAGTTACAGTTCGTTTGAGGCATATTAAAGAAAATAGTTTCTAAGGCCTTTGTGTTTTGCTGCTATTATAAACAGCTAAGTACCTATATGTGCAATTCAACATCAGCGTCTCGATTCAAACTTGTTGAACTAAAGCTATACCAGCTATAGAAGTCACCATTAAGTTTTCCGTTTCTTAGAAATGAAAAGAAACAGGATGAGCATTGAGTGAATTAATGTGCTGTTTGCTCCATACTTTAAAGTGTTACAACTTTAAAGATTGAAATTCCTCTTTTAAAATATGAGTTTTATATATTTTAAAATCAATTATCATATTAAAAGTAAGCAAAAGAAAAAACGAAAGAAGACCTTAAAATTATTTTAGTTAAGAGTGATAGAAATACAATAGAATTTAAAAAATGTGCAAAAGCGTAAACACATTATACTGCAAAGAAATTCCAGAACTCTGTAAAATGAATAAAAATATCCACATGTACGTGCCGTGATTCTGTATTGATTCACATTTTATTAAAAGCTATATTTTATTTATATCAAGCCCAGTTTTACCTTAGACATTTTTGCTAGTTGCCGGGACCGACAAAAGTATCTATACGATTTAAAGTGAAATGCTATTTTGCAGTATATTTTGAAGCATTTCAATCGGTTATTCACATCACTACTCAAATATTTCCACAGTCGTTAACGTTTTTTCTAACATGTGTACAGTGTAAGTTTGGATTTATTTGACTGTTCGTAGATGAAAATTATTTAAATTTCCACAATAGCAGCTCTTTCGTTTCAAAGAGAGAGTGTAGATAACATTATTGACTCCTAGAAATATGACTGCACTGGTGAGAACTGCATGTACCTATACGTTTAGTTTTGCTACATACCGGATGCGTTAATAAGTTAATTTTTTTTAGATTATGTTCAACTTTGCCTTTTTAACGAAATATCTATACTAAAAAGTAAGTAAGTGACCCATACAATAAACCTATATTGAAACCATTCACTAGATGCAATTATACAGTCAAAAACATCGAGACTAACAGAATTACCAAATGATTGCAATTTAATGAATGGCAATATTGCAATAAAGCCCACAGTGCAGACTGGTATTAAAGCAAGTAGGAATGATAAAGTCGCTTAATAAAATAATTATGTTGGTAAATTTATGTTACCGCAACAAAAACCACTGTAAGCTCTTGGTTTGAGTTATGCGTGGGGTGTTGTTACTAAATGCTTGAACAAGCACTTTTCTCGCGCTCAGTAATTTAAAGATTGATAATTATTTACAAAATGCTTTGAGTTCGTTACATTTTCGTACCGTCTAAAAAACAACCTTCAATAGCATTTAGTTTAGTACATAAACACTCCATTATAGGAATTTTAGATGGCAAGTCATAAAATACCCATAATTGCTCAGACTCCATCGAATAAAAGTGTTAAATCTAGTGAAAATTAAGCATATTTATGAGCATTAGCTAGAAAATATACCGGTAGTAAAAGTAATCAATTAAAAAAATATGCTTTTTAAAGCACCCAACTATTTTGAATTTCTAATATGGGATCGATATTCAAAAAAACAATTGCTCAATGTTATTTTCCTTACGCAATATCATGTACCAAGTAATGTATAAATCGTGTGGGCACACATAAAGTATAAGGCAATTATTATAATATCGCGGAGAGTTCTCAGTAAAACACCTGCTGTAAATTTGTCAATACTTAAGCGAACTTAATCGTTTGTTCTATTAGGGTTTTTTTTCTGTGGAAGTGAAGACATTATTAAACCTTTTTATAAATATTTTATTTATATTAATGTTAGCAGGGGGCATCTTTTTGATTACATTCATGTACGTTGAAAAGGGAAACAGATTGATTGATTATTACAATTCTTAGGAGAAACAATCTCAATGGAGCAAATGTTACTGGTGGTGTGTAATGCCAAAAATTATTAAAAGTAAAAATTCCAAACTGTTTAAGTTTATTTATTTTGCGTTTCAACAAAGAGTGTCATTGATCTATTAACATGTTTTATAACAATTGTGGCATTATATTTAACAATTTCATTATTATCTTGAACGTAAGAACTTATTTTAATCATTTTCATATTTCTGTATTTACGGCAGCAGGAAAAAGTTTAGTCAGCAGTATTGTTAATTTTAATCTTATTTTTAAAATATATTATCTATTTAGAAATATGTTTGAAATTATCTTAATCTAATTGTAGGTCCAAAAAATAAGTAATACTCAAATGGCACGCGAGTTTGGACATCTCTTATAGTTTTTAGTAGCTGCTCCAGTCGGATTTTCAAATACCTATAAAAACCCGCCTTGTAGGTACTAAAGCAGAAAACTGGTAGAGTAAGCAAAGTAATGAGCATCAAAGCTCGGGTTTTTTTGCCACCAACATTTTAGTCATAATCATTATTCAGGTATTCGCTAAAGTGTCAATCTTTTTTTTAATTGGTATCAACATAATTAATCACATAATTGCTGATGTTAATAAAATCGAGTTTTTCTGCATAATTTTCTTGTCATTGTCGGCCAAGCTAATATAAATCTCACACCTGCTAATCAACAGAAAAAACACCACTTGCCCACATTTATATGTACAAGTTAATTATCGGTATTCAGTAAAACAATGATTCTTGAAAGCTTGCGTCATGTGATGAAGTGACGATGAAAGTTGCTGAAGTTTGCTTATAAATATTTAACACCAAAACCTTTCGTAGTGAAAACAGAAACGAATAAAATGAAAATCATGGTATAAATCGATACTAAATGGGAAGGGATGACAACTTTTTGAAATGTTTCCTTTAACGAAGCTAAAGATAGTTATAAATCCACCAGATAATAGTGAGATATAATGAACAATTATAGGGTGTCCAGAAATGTAGTGTACAAACTACAGAGATTGACTCTACATGGAAAAAATAATATTTCAAATGTATATAGCAGTTTCTAGAAGCCTCGAAAATAACGAAACTMCAGGTTTGYGAATTTAGACTTTTTAGGTAAATTTTATTCAATGATTRTGTACACTGTACGATATCCCYCGTTTTCYCGAAAAACAGTAATTTTTGAGGTGTGTCGCCTGATTTTGTGTGCATTTATAGGTTCCTTCGATTTAAATATAAGTATTACAATGGTTTGTCTCCAAATCTGTGCTGATTTCAGACCTTGGGGATTAAAGAGTGAATTTCAAAATGTTGATCATTCATACTGGTCCATTATCAGCAGTACTTAAGACAAATTTTAAAATGAGAACTGTGAACRAACAGCGAAAATATTTAATAAAAATTATTTTTGATCGAGAATTTTTGATAAACCATTTAAATACGCGAACATCATATAATATTGAAATGATCCAAACTGCCTGTCTTTGAAAGGAAATCAGTAGTTTATTAAATATTTATTAGCTGAGTGTGTTAATGAGCAAACGATCAGCTTAGTTTGAATTAAACACAGCAGGATCCAACATTTAGTTTTATTTACTTTACCCGAGCTTTAGTTTTGCACCTATAAATTTACAAGCGATTATTCATGAAAAAACGCCTTTAATTAAGTGATAATATTATGTTTATAGTATGGTTATCCATGCAAATATCGTACTTATACCTAAGAAAAAAGATTAATCGTATTATAACCGACATTTGTAGACAGTTTGTTTTTACGCACAGCCATTACACGCATAAATCATAGGTCGATATGCGAAGTTTATTACCAATCTAACATAAAACTCGATTGTGTCTGAGTATGGTATTTGATATTACCAACAATTAAATGATTAGCACGTTACAGTCATTTTAAATAAGGTATTAATGTCAAATGGTAGATAAAGTGTATTGAATCCAGCATGCAAAATGACCAGCGGATTAGGGTTGTGTCATTGATCCAGTATTTTAAATATTTTTTTTATAATGTGTGGGTGAGCCATTCTCGCTTTTCTAGATTGATATCAATGGCTTAGTAAATCTAGCGGGATTGTTAAAAAAATAGAACTGTCAAGGATAAAAAGTAAGTTCTTTACAAATATACCTATACAAATGTAACGTTTTTTTTAAATTTGTTTAGACATATGCTTTATTTATGCTTTCAATAGATTATAGAAAATTCTACCATAAACTGAAGTCATAGGCCGAATAAATAGTTTATTTCTATGATTTATTTAGTTCCATTTGGTGCAACGATTTGAAAGAAGCCCAAATACTATGCCAAATAAAAATATATGTAAACATGTGATTAAACTTCCATAGAATTTTGAGATACCAAAGAAACCAGATGGTTGTATGTATAAAGATTTTGCCTTGTAACATATACAATAAACTTATGTACATAAGTATATTTTAAAACTGTTAATAAGCGATTATTAAATATAGTTTCTCTGATCAATGCAACTGTTTAATATTCAGCGGTAGCCCTGAAAGATCATGTTTTTATTTACATAGGATCAACCTTTTTGTTCGTTAACTTGCTACTTAGTAAAAGAGCGATAGTTATTATATTAATGACGCATATTTAAATACACACATATGGTTCGTATGAAAGTTGACAAAAGAAGAAACACGTAATTGTCGCCGTTGCTAGAAGACTTTTCTGGAATATGTTTTAAAATTGCCCGGATGCTTACATCATTTCAGAAAATAGCGATTCAAATATACAATTGATTATTTTTTAAGACCCAAACATTCTTAGAAATTATCTTATTTTGTCTGGAATCGAGAAGCCGTTTCAACGTGTCAAAATTGAGGATCAACTAGGATACTTATCAATTAGGATACTTATTATTTGAACGTCAATTATTTTATTGAGGAAAAAAGTAATCTATGTAATTAGCTATATGATTTAACGCGAAATTAGCTATGGGAAAGGAAAGGTTTTGCCGAAAAAGAGTGAGAGCGAGAAGTCGGAAATCATCATTATAGATTTTTATATAAACGATYMGGTTTTTGAAGCAAAAAACGCTTAGKTTTTTGCTTCAAAATTATGCTTCATTTTGCATTATTCATTATTATTATTATATTATACTATTCTAGTTAGTTCGATTGTGATTCTGTGCGACTGTTTGTAAGTGCTTTATTTACGTTTTTGTTTCAGAAAGGAACTTGTCTGTTTTGCCTTGTAAGAAAAGCGAGTTCAGTATGGTTCAGTTATGGGGGCATTTTATTTGCCATTTAATTTGCAGTTAAAGCAGTCTTTTATTTTTGTTGTCATTTTTATTCGGGCGTACAAAAGTTGGTTTGATGGATAGTGGATTTTGTGAATGCCGTTTTTTTGTTATTGATCTTAAGTCAGTCTGTTCTGTTATTTCTATGTGCTGTTTAGTTTAATTAGATTAATTTGTTCCCAGTATGTGTTCGAAATCTCTCCGCGGTCTGCATATTTCTTTGTGTATTTTATGGCAGTTTTGGTGCTAACCGTAAATTTAGTTGATACAAAAATTGTGATTTTTTGTTTTGCTTTGGATATAATAGAAGTCGACAATATAAGTACCAAATGAAGCATACAATAAAATTTTAAATGTACGTTTCCAACTATTTTACTATTTTAATTGGTAATACATTTTTCTTATATCTATGTAGCACTGCCAGAAGTATAATTGCACAATTGCTTCTATTCAGTATTCAGTAAAACAATGACTCTTGTGAGGATGAAAGTTGCTGAAGTTTGTTTATAAATACTTATAAGAAAAGGCATTTGTAGTGAGTTCTAGCTGTTTAATTTTTAAAACATAAAAACATAATCGCAAAACTGCTTCTTAATTGATTTGGATCGATTCAATTATGAGTTTCCATTGAATGTTTCTCAGGAAAGAAAACAATATAAACTGTGACAGAAATCGGAATCGGAATCAGAATTTTCAAACGGAATTTAACTCCTTCTACTTAAAAAGTTATATTATTAGTTGTCATATAAACTATTTTTGAGGAATGACTAGTTGACGGTATACTGTGGTAATTTTGTTTATATATTTAGCTGAAATTTGATGGCAATAACTTTACCAACTCACTCCAAACCTCAAAATTAGCATGTATCGCTTAACTATCTTTCAATAGACTCATAAAAAAAAACGAACAAAATATTTTGGACATATGTATTTTTAGAACTTTATTCTATCGAATGAAGATCTTCTGGCGTCCGAAAATCTTCAATTAAAGATTTCATTTTTCGTGGCTTAAGGGGACCATTAATTTTTGGAGTTAAAAAAAATTTACCGTCTTCGGCAGGTTTCGAATCTTATCTAATTCAAGTCTAATCCTAATTATTCTACCGGTCGGTCCATTAGCAATGGGAAATTCAAATATTCTGTTCTTTTGAATAGAAATACAAAGGCAAAAAGAGCAATTAAAATGGGTTATTGATAGACAATTTCGCAAATACAAAGTTAAGATTTCAGTACATAGAGCTAATTTTTTTTGTACAAGTAGGTTCCACAAGACGCATTTCAGACTGTTTTATTCATTGTGTTCATTTGTTTTATTTTTTCATGTATGTTTGAAAGCAGCATGAGGACAAAAACTCATAATTTAAGAAAAAACTTTGATTCTTACAAAGGTTGAAGGAAAGATCAGGTGCGACATACAGGGTAAAACCAGAAAATGGACCCTAAGACGTAGTGAAACACGCACCTTCCTGGTTTTGCTTTCCAACCTTCTATAAATATAGACTGAATAATTTTCTGAAAAGTATACAAAAGCCAAAATTTAATCTCCTAATTAATCGGAAACAATTCAGAATTTTATTTTGATTGACTAAACTATGTCTGAACGAGGAATAACTCCATTGAATGGATAGCTTCACAATACGAGTGTGTAAATTTTTGTACCGAGTCTTGATTTTAAAATTTTGTCCAACAGAGTGAGTCGTGATCAAAATCTTTACTACACCCGATGAATAAGGAATGCCATTGCTTTAAGATTGCGCAATGAGAAAAAAGTAAATTATTTTCAGCTCATTAATTTATGCAATCGAAATACCAGAGAAGCTAGCTGGCTAAATTTGTCAAGCTGAACCGTGTCAAAAGCACATGTCAGATTTATTAACTTTGTAATCGTGGTAAGACCCCGTGTAATGACTAGAATTCATCATAGCTCTATTTTAATAAGTCCTGGTTTATATCCGTGTATTCTTTGATGTCAACAGAGGGAGGAATTTAGGTTGAGTAATGACTAAAATTAAAGTGAAAAATCTTAAGCGCGCAGTACTGGCGCCAAACGAATTTCTCTATATTCACGATTGTTTACTATTATGCATCGTTTTACTGTGGAGTAATCCAGATTTGTTTCATAGAGCCCTCAGTTTTGAGGCCAGAAATTCTAGTAAATGTGTAAATAATTGTAAAAAGTAGCCTCTATAGAGAGATGTTTTAATTAACCAAAGTAGAAGCCACTGGTAATATATGGTAACATTATTGATAGGATTTGTAGTAAAACAGTTATTTTATTCCTGTGTTACATTTTCGTACGTTCTTCGTGCCGTTGGAAACTTCACAAATAAAATGGGATACAAATTTGCCCTAACTTTGGAACTGTTTGAAGCCACATTTGTTGTCTGTTCATCAGTATTTTGGTTAAAATTCATCATATACAATTTCTACGGGGTGATAAATGAAAAAATGCAAACACAATTTCAGAAAATGGCATGCTCCTAGTTAGACAAAAATTAAGTTTTTTTGAGATCTCAACACCAAAAGTTTAAATGTAAATCAAATAGCTCGAAACTGTTATTGAATTTTTCGGCCACTCTTCAATTTACACGGTGGTCTCAAAATCAACGTTTTGGACTGACAGGGATAACTTTCTTAGGCAACGTAAGACAAAACTTCAATATACGGGGTTGCATTAAAATTAAAATAACCCAAAGCAGAATTGCTATCGAAATCTATGAGGTTGGCACATTTTGAATTAAAGTGAAGTTCATTTTCGAATATTTTGTTCATTCATGCAACGCGGTATATTGAATTTCTTTTCAAGTCGACGGTGAAGATTTAGTTTCGACACCATGTTGGATGGATATGGATAAAAATGTGGAACTTTAATCAATTTTGCATTGTTTTATTTGCCACCCTGTAGAAACTTTATCTGAATCAGTAATTTTTGGCAAAAAGACGCACTAACCGAACAAGAATTGCACTAAATAACGCTTCAAACAGAAATAAAATCGCTCTTAGCACAACAATTTCTTCAGTTCCAAATTACTCAAAATTTGTCTGCATAACGTCTATTTTGTTGAGCAGTTTAGATTTACTTGAATTATAAGATGATGTGACATGATATAATATAACACCATAAAATACAATTTCTAAATATTTTTTAGTAGGACTTTAGTTTTCTAAAATTTTGTTAAATATGGTAAAATTTTCCAAAAAATAAAAAAAATAGCTTGAAGTTGGTGCTATGAAATACAATTAAAAAATTACTTGTTGATTTAAAAAATATAATTCTCATATTACTATTTAATATTATAAAATCAAAAAAGTACATATCTGCTGTTTAAGGAAAGGCTTATTCTGGTAATTATAGCTGCAGGAATTTTATAAACCTTCTGCAATCGTATATAAAAGGCTAAAAACTTTATGAATGTCTTTATAAGCTCTGAAATTTTAAATAAAACATACCTCTTTTTATAAAAGATAAGTTTTTAAATGTTATTATTTATAATCTAACTATTCTGTATATTAATGTTTAGATCTGTTTTAAAATAATATAATAATATAGAATTTCTTCAAGTAGAATTCTGTATTTCATTAAGAATTGGAAACATGCGGCTAGTAAGTAGTTAACTCTACTCTCTATTACGCGTTCCGATTGTATAAAATACATCTAACTTTCAGTTGTTCTATAGATATCGAGGACAAAAATAACAGGATTTTTGAGGCAAAATTTATGATAACTTTTGAAATCCTTCACGAAATTACACTACAACTTCAATATATGTACGTATGCTCGATTATGTTTATGGCTTAAACTAAATAGCACCAAGAAAACGTGCTCATAATAGATATTTTAGATAATTAGGCTCTAATATAATTTTTTTAACGCATAAATAAAAAGTTGTTTACTTTTTGGACAAACATGAAAATATTCGAGTGACAGCTAAAAAGCTGATATCAAATTAAACTATGTGCATATGCACTATCAAATATATATTTGATATAAAAAGGAATATCGAAAAAATGAGGAATTTTATATTGAAAACCCATGAAGAAGCAAATATGTATCTTGTAATTTATCAAGAGATTTGTTTCGCAATTTTTAATACTTTCTTGGTGACAGAAAAATGTTTCAAAAACCAGAAAATCTCAAGAGGAGGAAGCATTATATAATTGGTTTTTACAGTAGTGGCATAAGAATGTCTCTACATAGAAGGAAACATTTTTATGAAGAAAATAAACAGTCAATTTCCTAAAATTATTTACTTTAAAAGTATCGGGTGAATAGCTATTAAGGTACAGAGCTTCATTTCAAGGCCAATTTCTTCAGATGAACCTGAATTCTACTATTGGGGAACTCTACCAGACACTATCACGGTTCAAAGTGAAGAAAATCGGTCCCTGGTCTAGAGACCGATTTCCACCGGACCGGGAAGTCCATTTTACTTAAAGAAAACGCGAAAAGTTCAGCTGCACTCTGGCCAAAGAAGGCTGCAGCAACGAAAATACTCCCATGCAAGAATTGAAAAAACACCTGCAAAATTAATACCTGAAATCTATTGCAGTATAAAAATATATTAAATTTTGAAAGCCAAATGAACCATAGGAAAAATAATTTATGATGATTTAACAGAAGCTGGAACGGTTAATGCAGTCATGAATGAAGGTTTGGTAAATTATCGAATCATAAACTGCGATGACGACGAAAAATCAATTGCCTCTGAAAGAAAAGTAAAATGCATACAATAAGCAAATAAATTAAGCTGCTTAAAAAACTAAATGGAGAGGCCACTGAGCGCTGACAAATAATAACAACTGCAAATAAATAATGTTTTGCCGTTTTAATAAATAATACATAACAAATACGTATAAATGGATAATAATATGCATTTTTCCATAATTTGGATGCGGTGCAAACTCGACACACCCGGATTAACAAATTTGTACTGTATATCGTAGATAATCGACAATAAGGGCAATCCCTTTAAAACATTCAAACAAACATGCATTTCTGTAATCACGTAGGTATACAATTAAAAGTGTTTTAGGCATTTTCTAGATTTCCAAATATCACGTATGACTATTTTAAACGTCCAAAAAATCGACATATTTTCTAAAGTAGTAACATATGACCTATTTCTAAGATTTTAAATTTCTGTATAAGAACATAAACGTATTCTTAACTTGATATAATTGATTGGCTTGTTCCTAGTTCACTTTGCTATTGCCTATTTTAATGTCAGATGAATCAAGCTGATACTTCAACGAGTTAATACTTAATATTGATTGATTTGTATATTGCTAGTTTTCAAGATCAACCAGCAACATATTGGATCTAACAAGTGATCCTTAAAAATTCCGCACAAAAAATAGACCGCTAAAAATGTGTTACGAGGTCAAGATCAGACCATGTGAATTATGGCATTGCAAAAAATAGCAGAACATCGTTGCGAAAATGTCCGTTTTCCAAACAACCTTTTTGGAGGCTGATAGAAGTGGTTTGTGCGTATACTTGCTATTTATCTACGATTTGGGTTTGACTAGGCCAAGGCGGAAGAACATTTAAATGACATGATTGTATATATTTATCGACTTGAATATTTTAAAAATTCAAATTACTTTGGTTACTTTTTCACAAATACGCTTTTGATTAAAGCAGTTTTTAAGTTGCATAAAATGATGTTCAGTTTTTGAGATTTTCTTCAAACACAACTTAAAAAAAAACCTGCAAATCAACTGATGAAATACAGACACTTTTTATTTATTTTATAATGATCGAGTTTGACGTGATATTGAGTTTTTATTTGAGAATTAGGCAAAGGCCAATTTGCACAATGCAAATGACCAAGTAAACATTAGTCATACATACATAGGAACATTCATACCAATTTCAAAATTCAATTAAATTCTTACACGATATTTAACCTAAAATCCCCATATAGGTCAAAATTAATGCAACCTTAACAGAATTTTTCAACGGTTATTTTGATTTCCATATAAGACCATATTAAATTGTAGGAACCTTCAGCCGCTGCTATATTGTTCGAATTGCAATATACGGATAAGGACGTTTCATTTCTTCGATAATATAAATTAAATGACTCATACGACATCAAATGACTTGGATAAGACATACATGTGTAATTTCTTGTGCAGGGTTAAAATTATTAACCAATAACACTAAGTTAACGAATTGTATTGTCATTATAATAATACTTAAAACCCGAACTTATTTGTATCCAAACTGACACTAAACGAGTCCAAATAATAAGCCGTACGTATTAATAAATGCGTATGGAAACACTTACTGCACCAGCTGACTTTGCTCATTAATTATTTTACTTCGAGAACATTGAAGGTCTGAAATGAATGCGAAAAAACACATTTTTAACATACAAGTCCTAATAAAGCTTTTTGTGTATCATTTATAAGACCTTCCATTCAGCCATGCTTATTTTGTTCGGAAAAAATATTACAGTACATTTTTAATTGATGAGTTGATGAGAGATTGAAAAAGTGTCAATATTGGAAAAAACATAATCTCACGCAGATTGTTTATCAGCAATTAGATGGTCATTTTATCATTATTTATGTGATAAGTAAAGAGTGTTTTTCTAGAGGTATAAAACTGAAATAAAACTCCATGATGAAGAGCAATCCACGGAGGAATTGCAATTTTCGACCACTTTGATTCCACTAGATCATAAAAAAGCACATCAAACAGTGAGTTTTCCTGGATATAATGGCGTCTCAATAATGGGTTTCGGATTTTGGATTTTCGTCGCTCCAAATTCGATAATTTATTTCGAAAATCGCTGTTCAGTTTGCTAAACTTACCGTGCGCTACGTCCATTTTACGGTCTACATAACCGTTTTTGGCTCAATGGTTGCGAAAATAAACAAAATTGCCGGATTTGGAGCTACGAAAATCCAGAATCCATTATTGAGACGCCATTATATCTAGAAAAACTCACTGTTCGGTGTGTTTTAAGGTCTAGTGGAATTTTGGAAGTAGTCGAATATTGGAGTTCTAGATTGCTCTTCATTCGAGCCAGTTAAAAAAAACCCTTAATTTACCTACTCATGTATTGGTACCAGTTATCCGATCTCAATGAAAATGTTCACATAATTCTACGGTTTATTCTCTGATGCTTAATAGGTATCCAATTATCCCACATCGATCATTTTAACTTTTAACTCAACAAAATTGCTACTGGCTAGAACTTTTTTTACTTACAAATGTTTTAGATTACTCAGAGAAGATATCGTTAGATAAGTTATCAAGCATTTTAAAAAAATAGTAATATTAATACATCAGTAGAAGTTTTGTCCACATTTTTAAACAGGGTGTTATTTAAGGCTGTAGCTAACATTTCTGTCCATATTCTTGAAATTGGGACATAGTAAATGTGGTGTATTTACTATAGTATTAAAATAAGAGAGTAGTTTTGCCCTAAACACACTGTGTGTATTAAGCATTGACTTTAAATGTATTAAGCCCAGTGGCGTCCTGGAGGTCAACCTGGTTACTATTTTCGATAAAAGAATGTGCACCGCTGACTTCTTTTCAATGTTCCTGTTTTTGTCGGATTGAACAACTTCCAATTCATACAATTCAACAATAAAATCTACTTTGGTTCATGTTTCTGCGACAACATAATGAATAATTAAAATGCCACCAGATTACAAATCACACCGTTCAACTATTAAAATTACACGAGAGTCATTTACCTTATTTATAATTTTTTTGCATATATTAAAACATTTTTCCATAAAACAACCAAACACAAAGCTATTACGTAATTATTTTTATTATTAAATTTATATTATTTAAGATCCTGTAAATTGAGTGAAACTACATTTTCAATTTTCAATAATCACTTTCTCAAGTTGGCTAGGCACTTAAATAACCCTTGCCATCAGTTAAAATTGTCAATTATTTTTAAAGTACACATACTTGTTGTTTTGGGGATTTTCAAAACTAACAGTCTCAAATATGATATAAAACGGTTGAAAAACGTGTGTTCCAAATATCGAAGAATAACTCACTGAAAAACTATCCAATAATGGTACATACTAATTTTCGATTTGAAAAACATTATAATTATTATATAAATAAATTGCACCTTGCTTTAGCACAAACTTTGCTACATAACGTGTTTTTAATTATTTATCAATTAATCACAAGTAACGATAATGTAAAAAAGTAACTAATGTTAGTAACATAAGAATCAGATGTTTTCTTAATACCTTAGTATCACTTGGCAACAGACCTTACAATAATTTTTTTGAATAGATGCATTCCAAAAGAAAATATGTTTCAGGTATAGCAGATGTACCGAAATCATTTAATAACAATAAAATCAGCAAATGCTTCATTTTAATGGATATATTGGTTTCTTATATAAGTGATGTTTTTTCAACAACATTTACTAGGTATATTTTTTAAAAGTGAAATTAACAATTTCAGCTATTGTGTACAATTCGTACTTATCGTGATCGTAAAATGATTCGGTTCACATTTGTACGTAAGTCGCAATAAAGATAGCATAAATATTTGTGAAAAACAGATTCCGTTACAAGCGAAATTTTATCAGATCTCTCGCAGAATTTTGCACTTGATTACATTTTAGCTATTAAAACGGAACTGTGCCTAAGAGTCTGGTTAATGTCATTTTTCCTCAAAAATTAAATTTATATTGGACATTGATCGATTCCCTTTACAGACATTAAAACTGACTCGTCTTAATAGACTATTATGGATAATTCCATTTCTAAAATTATATATCAAAACGGAAATGATTAAGTGTTGAATAAATTAGAGTGAGCAAAATAATAGAACGATTACATCTGGCTATGATTTCCCTCAAATAAACATAATGCAACAACATTCTCAACATTCTGATAAACTTTCTGGTAATTATGGTTATGCGTCTGCTTCAATTAATTTTTAAATGAATATCCATCTAACGAAGCTCATGATAAGTTTACTAAAACTATTTAGTTGCGTTTAGACAGTATGATTTGCGTTATCTTGACAGTATTAATAACTTAATTATTCCTCCATATAACCAAAAACAAAGAGGCATTTTTGCTCCCAGTATTACAGACGCATTGATAAATATTGTAGATAATGCTGCTTTTGGTTTTCAGCAATTTCCAATGTAACCCAAACTTTGAAAGAAAAACGATTAATAGTAATTTTCTTCTTTTTATTTTTCTTATTAGGTTTTCGATTCTTTGAAAATAAACAGAAACTCATAAAAATATTTTTTGTCGTGATTTAAATACCTTTCACTTTAACAATAAGAGCGATTGGTAAAATTTTTGTATCTAATGCTTTATATTTTTCAATTAAGGCATACACTTTTCTTATACCTAAATCCTACCTAAATATTAGGATTGAAATGTGTACTTTTATATTTTTAAATTCAATATAATTTCTATTATAATTCAAAATTTAAAATATATGAAAATTGAAGAAAGACAAATACATCAAATACATATATT